AGACAGACAGACAGACAGACAGGCGCAGAGACAGACAGAGACACAGACACTGACAGAGACACACAGCCGGCTTCCGAAAATAGCGCGCGCCCAGTCAGCATCAGCCCTGGGGCGTGACCAGGCCATTCACCCAGCTTTTTGCTTCGAGCCTATCTCAACGCGCAACATGCAGGCCACGCAAGTCTTTGTTGGGGGCTCTGCTTCAACCAAGCATTGGATTGCTCACGGTCTCGGGCTGTTGTTCATAGCGTGTATTGGTGCTGGGTTCTGCTTGGTTTGGCGGGCCTGTTGAATTCTGTTGCCCAACCAGAAACCGTGTGCGTAGCAAACTTAATCAGTAGAAGGAAAGGATGGTTTCATGAAGTTTGTTTCTTGCAAAGACCGGGCAAAGGCGGCGTGGTCTTGACAGACGAGGTGAACAGCAAGGACGCGGAGCTTTATGATGGCATGATTCTAATCGAACCGAAGCTTTGCCACGACCACAGCCTTTGGAGCCCGATTGTCCGTGAACTCTTCACCAACGATGTGAAGCTGCGAATTTGGAAAGCAAATGCCTACAAGGCATTTAAGGCCACGTTTATGCCCCACAAAGTGTTGGCAGATGCTGGCGTTTGGGGCGGCCTGAGTGTTTGATAAGTCGAGCAGCTGAGAGCAGGAAGCGTGCAACCAGTCAGGTGTTGTTGAGAACGGCGTGTAATAGTAACATTGTGTTCTTCCATGTTGTGCCCTGATATGCCCTGATGATGTGCACCGCCCACACTTTTGCTTGTGCTGCCCGAAGATACTTTCTGGATTCACGATCGTAGTCTGGATTGCAGTTGAAAAATTGTGTTTTTTGAGTTCTGGTCCCCACAAAAAGCGAGCAGTTATATAGTCAGATACATATGTGGACAGTGTTGAAGGCAGATGGCGTTGTCCTGACTTGAGTCATTGCTCTACCGCACCACATTTGGAGGCGCGCTGGCGTCACCCTTGTGTAACTAGTTGCCAACGCCTTGAAGATCTTCGGAAGACATAATGACGGATTGAAACTCGGAACAATATTTTGGAACACGAGATGTCCAACCGCTGTTGGGAACGTGCTCTAATGATTCTTCATTGTTTCAGTAGGTTCTAATCGCTGCTGAACCAGCACTCATTCTTCAGGCGCCTGTCGCTGACATGTCCAAACCTTGATGCAACTTATTTTTTTTGTGTCCAGTTTCTCCAGGGCTGGGATGTTCGACTCAATTAGGCGAAGCATACCCCGAACCATTCTGAAAACGCTACCACTTTCTAGTCTTCACACTGCGCGAAGCATACGTCCGAAGCATACCCCATTGTCAAACATACTGGCCCGGGAACGTCAGAACGCCAAACAATACGTGCGCTCCTGTTCCGCACATGGGCGCAAGAAAGCAACGCGTATGTTGGTGCTGGTGTTTTCCGGAGGGCGGCGATACGCTGTTTGCGCTAGTGCTGCTGGCTTTGATGCTCAGGCATGCGCAGAAACCTTCCCAGCACAGCAGCAGCAGCAGCAGCTCTGGAAGCCTGGCGTGGCTCCTCAGAGCTGACAGTGCCGCTGTGGCCGTGACTGGCGTACCTTAGCAGGAGGGCAGCGGCAACTGTTCGGAGCCCTTTCCCACAAGAAGTGTGCCTGTCTGCTTTGGGTCTTGCAGGCTTCAATTCCCACAAGTGCGGCCTACGCCTGGATCAAGGCAGGGGTTTTCTCTGTTTGTCTAAACAGAGTGCTCTACCACAGTCCTGCTCTACCACAGTGACAGACACACTTGTGTGGGAGCATCAACCTGTGGCCATCATGCGCAGCAGACAGAACCAAACACAGCAGAACTAGACACAGATGCCATAGGTGGCGTGGTTGATGAAGCATTGTCATCAGCCGGCGTTGTGGTTTGATGATGAAAAGTGGTGACATGAACAGGAAAGGATTTCAGAAGGAACCCAAAGAGGCAATCTTTCAACAAAGGGATGAAAAGAACCACACACTAATTCAGTAGAGTGTTGTTGAGGGAACAGCTTGGTTCTTGTAGTATTCTTATGTTTTAATTTATTTGTTGCTTTCAGTATCTTATCTTAGGTATTTTGTTCTGGGCAAAGGTCTAACTCTATTTAGGGTATGTCGGTATGTCTATAAATCAAGACGAGGATTCTGTTTGTGCAAATTTGTATGAAGCCCATCAAAATCCGGATGCCGCCAGTGCCGATGCAAAATGATACCGCTGCCAATGTGCGGGCAGAGAAAGAGACGCACAGACCAAACCAAGACCATAGTCCAAGCTCATTTACAAGGACCTCCGCCGGCCCCAATACCTCGAATACGTCGATGCATCGCGATCCATCGCAAGACTGGGGCACCATCCCGCAACAGAGATTGACATAACTGGCGCTAGAACCTTGTATGGCGCTTCTCATTCAAATACGCAGACCTGGCTGCGCAGCTTTGCGCGAGTTTACGGTGGCCATTCCCGCGCAATGCTTCCTTGCTGGATGAAGCTAAGCATGGTGTTAGATGGTGTGAGCTTTGCGCTGGCAGCAATAGTTTATCAAAGTCTTCTGTCAGTCTCCAACTTCGTTTCCAGCTGGCTCACAAAAGTGAGCCCTTCCGTTTCATTTCCAAGAACCCAAAGCTTTACCAAAAGAAATCTGGCTGCTGCGTGAGCAATCTGTTGTTCCTGGGTTTGTGTCCTTTTCTTGCAGTTTGCAAGCCGGTGGCCCTTGGGACCGGCGCGTCCACTCTGCCGGGTGTAGTACGTTCCTACTTGACCCGCAGAGCTGGGCACTGGGGTGGGCACATGCACATAAGTAGGCTAAAGGTGGTGGAATCCAGCAAACCTTACAATCGGATGCCTTGAGAATTATCAAGAGGCCTGCACAGTGGAGCCAGCTGTACAAAGATATCCTAGATAGGGTTCTTCTAGCCTGATTCGTGTAGGATGAGGGATCCCCATCCCAGCTTGGGATCTCCTCTGAAGGCATCGTGGCCTTCTGGCCTTCTCCTCCTTCTCTCCCACCAGTCGTCTCCAGCAGCTCTGACTACCATGCCATCCGCCCTATGCAAAGGGCAACCGCGGTCCGTCGAGGACCCACGCGTGCGACGCGCCGAACCCTTTTGGCCTTAGCCGCTCGAGCCCCGCCACTCCGGTCAGGGGAACAAACAGCCCACATGAAAGGACAAAAAGAGACATCCTGTCCCCATCCTTGTCAAAGCGGTTCTCACACGAAGCTGACTCTTTGGGGCCATTCAGTCATCGGTCAGGTTGTAGAAGTCGGATGAAATTGTGTAGTTCCTTGAGCTCGATGTCCCTTAGCTCTTGCCAACCTGGTCGGTCAAGCGGTCGAAGGAGGTTGGCAATCTCATCAGTTGGTACTGCTGAACTAGAGCAAGGGGCTGAAACAAAGACTCCCCTCAAAACGTTCCCAAGCAGCACTACTTGCATCTGCCTGACTGAACACTTCCCACGACCTATCACTTCATGTGGACGCCCGCATGTACCACTGCACAATTCCAGAAATAAAACAAATGTTATACCTGGATAAACTATGGCACATGTGAAACCACACGCCCAGGCAGGGCAAAAAATGAAGGAGGCAAGCGCAATGTCACCATGGAACTCAAGCAAGCCGTTGTCAGTGAGGAAGGACATGCGGGTGATATGTTGGGTTGCCCTGATTTTTGATATACACCAGCCAGATTTAAAGAAGCTGATCATTTTTCTCAATCACTTGTCGAAAGGGGAACCCGCCTGTATACTCGTGGCATCCTTCGAAGCATTCGCCAGATCAGGATGCGGAGAAGAAGCTGGCAGCCCCAAGCGTTAGAAGCCGTCAGGAGTGGCAAAGAGCGTGGTGCGGCATCTGGATCCCAAGGACTTCAGCTCCGAGAATGGCATGGAGAAGCTCCTCTCCGTCCTCTGCGAGAGCCCGCTGCAGAAGCTGCCGATCCCGGATAGCTTCTCAAGGCTCGAGACATGGTCGAGCCTGAAGAGGACCTCTCATGAGACCATCCCACAACTTCAGGTGAGAGAGGAGGAGCTGTTCAGGACGCCCCCGAGAAAGTAGTAGTAGTCGTGGCCCCCCCCCCGCCTCGAACTAGGAAAAATAGTAGTAGTCGTGCCCCCCCCCTCGTCGAATTCTTCTTACAGGCCATAAAGAAGGATCCTATGCCACGAGGGCCTTAATGAAGGATCCTGTGCTACGAGGGCCTTAAAGAAGGATCCTGTGCTACGAGGGCCTTAAAGAAGGATCCTGTGCTATGAGGGCCTTAAAGGCCATAAAGAAGGATCTTGAGGGCCTTAATGAAGGATCCTGTGCTCTTAAAGAAGGATCCTGTGCTACGACGGCCTTACAGAAGGATCCTGTGCTACGACGGCCTTATTAAAGAAGGATCCTGTGCTACGAGGGCCTTAAAGAAGGATCCTGTGCTACGACGGCCTTAAAGAAGGATCCTGGAGTGGCAGGGCTCGAGCGGCTAAGGCCCAAAGGGTTCGGCGCGTCGCGCGCGTGGGTCCTCGACGGACCGCGGTTGCCCTTTGCATAGGGCGGATTGCGACTTTTTTTCTACCTGCAGGCCGTTCAGCTCAAGACATACTTAAGGAAAGTCGGCAAGCGGCACGAAGGGAACAAAGCAGCCTTTTCTCAAGCGCAAGCCCTCCTCTTGGAAAGGGAATGAAGGGCTTGGGTCTGGACGATGGAATTGCAATGGGCTTGGGCGTTTGGCAAAGAGTTGCAATTTGTTGCAATGAAGCCGTGATGCTGGAGGTGGACCCCCGAGACAACAATTTGTGGCTCAATGCGCCCTTGCCTTCTACAAGTAGAAGGTGCTTAGGCTGTGAGGCAACTAAAGGTGCAGGCGCGGCCCAAGTGAACGCTGTGACGAGGTTCACTGTGTTCCCGCAGGGCAACGAACAAGAACTTTCAGCCGCCCTTGAGCACGTCATGACCGCCGTCGGCCTCAAGAACAACCTCAAAACCAAGTTGCAAGCTTGAGACTGCCGATGTAAACCTTTTTGCCAAACCGAGCGTCCGCATGGTTGGGTCCAAGAACTCGCAACTCTCAGTTGAACAGAGGCGAGTTAACAGTTAACGCGGATCTCCCTGATCGCCTCCAAGGGCGGACGCTTAAGATGGACAATAGCGAGCCAACAATCATTGCCGAGGAAAATGAACCTTCCAGGCCCGTATTCCAAATTAACGTGACCGGACTTCGCTGGAGGCGGTGCTGATTCGAGACCCAACACGGAAGATAAGGTCAAGGGTTGGCGGGGCACCTCATAACTGCAAGCCAGTAGACATGCTGGCGATAGTGTCCCAGGCACGCATGTCAGTATTGCCCGTGGAAGATGATTTTAGCACGGCCCTTTTCCACGTGCGCGCGTTTGTTCGGGTCTTGTTTTTTTTATGTTCTTGTTGCGCTGTTTGCCCCCAGCCACTGCATGGATTGGACGCGCCCCGCGAAATGTTTTTTTGGCAGGCCTTCTAGCGGCATTTTGGCCGTCCATGAGCAACCCCGGTGCGCGGGGCTGGTTGGCCTGCTGCTCAAAAGCAGCGGCTAACTAATCCTTTTCCCTTCCTTGCGCTCTTTTTGGTTTTAGGTTAATTGTGGTGCAGTGTGAAGGAATTCGTTCAACGGCTTCTGCAACCAGCCCGCCTTCCTTTTCTTGAGTGGCCAAAGTGCACGAAATTGCTGGCCTGGCGGTGTTGCTTGGCCTTATAAATTATAAGCATACCACTGCAAGAGAAAGTGCGCAAAGGGAGTGTGGAGGGTTGCTATGAGACATGGCAGCAGCCACCTCCAAACGCGCCCGCCAATTTTAGCTACGCT